TCACTTAGCCATGGAGACCAATTAAAATGTTTCTAGATTTTTATTTCATTTAAAAATACTCAACAGCAACCTCATTTCGATCATATATAGGAAACATCTCTTCAGCAACTCATATAATTGGTAACAGGATAAGGAACTTCTTCGGTTCCACCCAACTATGGCTGTTTTAAGAGCCCATGTGAAGTGAAACTCTGAACTCATTACACTTCTAAGAGGACAAAAAAAACATTCTATATATGATAAACCTGTAACTTTACTTTAGTTGTTGGTTTCAGGCAAAAGACCAAGAGTGCTATGGACCAGAGGAAGAAGTAACTTCCCACGCCTAGAGGCAATACCTAGAACTGGCAGAGGACCATGGGAAATCTTGCACTGACAGCATTGCACAAGGCCAGTGGATAAATGGAACTACTTACTGCTGTTTTTTCTGTCAACAAGTTGTCAACTCTTACAAACATTAAAATTCTGCAAATTGTGTTTTAAAGGGATAACAAATTTAATTCCTTCTGTACATTACCCCAGTGTTTGAGCAATGTGGTGCCTTCTCTCCTACTGGCATCGAGAGGATTTGTTGAGAGCAAGGTTAGGTCTTACCTGTCCAAATGTATGAAATCTGAATTGAAATTACTTTCCAGTCATATGGATACTTTCTACACCGTGCGCTCAGTAATCAGCAGCAATACACTTTAGTGTTGTCTGCTTCACAATGGGCATGTCTACATGTGCATTAATACGTGTTGTCTAATGCGCATTAAATTTAGCACCTCCAATGTGAGGTACCAAATTAATGCTCATTAGGTTGCACTAATGCTCAGTAACACATTTTCATGCTTTTTTAGTATTGCTTAATGAGCAGTAGACTATTTTACTGCACATTAACATGTCACCATTTTTATGCATCACTTTAATATGCAGTAAATTAATCTACTGAGCATTGACATGCACATGTAGACACACCCACTATGTACTAACCCAGTTCTCAATGAGCTAAAGTTGCACAATCCAAACATTTTTCTGTAAACGTAGTAACTGCACATATGCTCATTTCTGGCGCATTTTACTTTTTGGTCGATGAACTGCTATGTCATCATTTAAAAAATAAATTATAGTTGGAAACATAGTAGCATTAAACCAGTTATTTTGGACAATCCTTCGCACACTTTTCTACTCAGTTACTTAATCCGTGTTCCTATAATCCATTTACATTGATTTCTACTACTTCAACTCAAACCTTCCATTCCAATACAATTAAGAACTTTGATGAACTCTTTTGCTGATTCAAAAGGAAGAGGGTTCTTTCTCACTGCAAAAGTTTGAAGCGACAAACTAGCATTTGCTTAAGGCAGCACTTTAAAACTTAAGAGCTAAATTATGGCTGAGGGAGCTAGCTGAGCGCTGTGGGGTTGGGAAATGGAAAAGCCACTGCACCATCCATGCGGTTATGGAAGAAACTATTTCTCCTTTGTCAGGTAAAAGCAGGCATAATGCCTTGTTCTTCCACAGTTACAGCTCAGCAGTGCCAATGCCTTCTCCATCTAATATTAGGCTCTGAATGAGAGCTGGCTGCAAGCTGGGAAGCCCTCTCAGCATAACAACCAAACCCCAATAGTCCCTTGTGGGCTATTAGTGCTCCACTGGCAACACTAACCATCCACCCACCACAAGCACAACGAACAACTTTCTCTATGGTTGCACTGGGGATGAGAGAGGAAGGGTCTCAAACTGCACAAGACATTTCAGGAAGCCCCTGCAGAGATATTTTCCTTTAAGTATGTAGCAAGCCTCTAATCATTGCACACTTAAGTGATTCATATTAGCCATTATAACTACCATTACACTGTATTCATAAGCATTTCAGGTGCTGCAATAATAACCATCCATTTCTGTAAGTCACTTAAACTTTGGGTTGCAGGCCTGGATATTGGCTCGAGTGGTGACAACGCTGAATCAGAAATGATGCTATGTGCTAATTACAGATCAATTTACAATTTCATTCACTAATATTTAGAACTGACACTTATTTTTATGCCCGTCTGCATGTTATTAGTAACAGCGTATGTTCTACTATCAGCTGGAGCTTCACTTTATAAACCCAAATGGCAGCTGGCCAAAACACTGGACTTAATTGCACTGGTGCATAATCTAATGGCATGCATTCACTCTGGGCACACTAGAGCAGAATATGGCCCTCTGAGGGAAATAAATGCCTATTTTCTTATCTAAAATTTCTCTCGGTAGTCCTCAATATCCTTCGGGAAGAATATACTAGTGTTACCTTTCTTTTCCTGCGTATTACTTTTTCTTTCTCTTTTTTTCCTTTGCTATGGCATAAAGTAATACTCTTTTTTTGGAAGAAAGAGAAAGAGAAAACAAATCCCTCAAAAATCACTGCTGCTGGGAGAAGCGATGCTGTTTATTTTTACACCTAGACTCCAGCTGTGGCACTCTTCAGACAATCTAAAGTTACACGATTTCAAACTTTGTAGTGAACTCCAAGGTGGTAATATGATGCTGAAGGTAACACGATCCACTGACTAGAAAGATGTTAATCCTGACAAACTGCCTAAGCATTAGCCTGAACCACAGCTAGATTGAATTCTGTCTCCCCTGAGAGGGCCAGCAATGCTGGTGGTAACAAAACGTCTTTTCATAGTGCCCTGAAAAGCAGATGGGCCACAAGCAGTGATTTAGAGAAGAGCATCAGTGCCCTCTAGTGTTTGCATGTGTAACATTCCTGAAAGAACAGCTACCAGATATTTAGTGCCCCAAATTTCCAACTAGCATTATATACATGAAAAGGCAAAGTTATATCTTTCGTCTATTTATGACTGCAGCCACTCTGGCCTTGGAGATATTAAGGTACATAATGGCTAGTTTGGTACACTGGAAGGAAATCGAGTAAATTATTTCCACCTCTTTGATGTCTATTCCTATATTTTTTTCTGAAACCTAAATATGTAACAGGCTTAAGTAGACCTGCTGATCAATTTTAAATAATAACAAATCCTAATAATTTATGATTTATTTTGCAAAACGCTTGCAGGCCTTTAGTAAAACCTATCCTCTGCCTTACAAACACCAAAAACTGTCTTATCACCATATAGTCATTTTCTAATTAATTTAATTTCTTTATTTACATGGAAACAAAAAATGAATGGATTTAATCATTCTGTATATTCAGTTTTGGAAAACAGTATTGTAAATGTAACAACAACTATATACTCTAGTAGAATGTTTTGGAATCCTACATAGGGTTACATTTTTTTCCATAAAAGGAAGGAGATTTTTTGCAATATATATTCAACTTATTATTAGACTTATTGAGAAGAAATGAAATAGAAAGTAAGATGGACACAGCATGAGCTGCTAGGAGTTATATATAAAGTAAACCTTCTTAAAACATATGCATAAAGGGCTTGATCCAAAGTCTATTAAAGTCAATGGCTGCCCTTCCTTTTACTTCTGTGGGATTTTGTTTGGGCCCAGCAAAGGAAAAATGAAAAATGGAGTGCCATTTTAAAACAAAGAGGCATGATAATGACAATGGTATATGGAATTTGAGCTTTAAATATGAACATGAAGGCTATGCCACCCAGAAATGTGTGTAAGAGGCATGCTGCTTACTCTTTCGGGTGAAACAAGTCCAAATGAAAACTCAGGACAAACATGTGACTTTCAAAATCTATTCAAATAATTTTAAGGTATCCTGGGCAAAAAGAGATACTACTGAAAAAAAGTTTGAAATCACTTTATATTTCCAATATCTGAATTGCAAGGATCCTGCCCCTCTCTTTTTTAATCTATTGTAACCAAGAAAAAACCACTGGCAACTTCACTATATAAATATATTTTGTTTAGTCTCATTATTTTTTCTAATGATCTTTAGAAAATGTAGCCTCTTAAACCGCAGGAACTCTTAAGTTCAGGCATATATCTTGAACTGAACAAAAGGAAATGTGTCAAACTTTATTAAAACGGCTCATTAACTGCACTTGAACTCAGATAACATGTGAAAAAAAAACTTTTATCAACTAAATCACAAAAATCTTTCTAACCCTTGTAATCGCTCCATATTGTACAGCAACAAAATATTTCTGTCCTTCTATCTCCCAATCAATCTTTTTCCATAAAGGTCTTCTTTTGGAAAGGACAGGTCATAAAGTGCAATGACTTAGCCCGTTTATTGACAACATTTATTGTAATAGCTTCTGTAGTAATGAAAAGCCTAAATCTTAATGCTTTTTCAGACCAAAAAAACCCCACCTTATATGAGTAGACTTTATAAATTTCAGCAAAGTTGATGCAAAAAAATAGCATATTTAGATAACACTTATTCCTTTATGCGATAGGCTTCAGGTTTGAATGCAGATCCCATTGTCCAGAATCAACAACCCGTGGGTCATAGGGAGAAAAGGTGCTTTCTAACATTTTTTCCTACAAAATGCTACGTGCCTTTGTGGAAACACAGTCCTTTCTTTTTGCAACTTTATTTCTTTGTTCTCATGCCACAGCAAAGGAGGCTGTTTTCAAAGTGGAGTCTGAAACTTCAGTTTTCTAGAGTATGCTGAGAAATGTGCTGAAAAAGGCTTCTTGGATAAAAGATATGAAGCCAGCTTCCTTTGCTCTCGCTTGCATTATTCTCTCTCCTGTTCTTTATTGCTTATCTCCCAACATCATGAATTGTGCTGATGCCATGCTATAAAATTCTTGCTCATAAGAAAACATCTGCATTTCCATGACCAAGTAAAAAAAAAAAAAAAATCCAAAGACCCAGAACAATCATGGACTTGTGTTTCAAATCCCAGTGGGAAAGGCACAGATTGAGGCCGGCTTCGGATAACCCCCTGGTTAAAAACAAAACTTATTTACTGGCAAGGGAAAGGCTGGAGGAAGAAGGCAAGGTGGTTACCTGAGAAAACACATACACTTGGAAAATACTCAGAGAGTCAAGAAAGAAGGGAAGCTAGACGGAAGGAAGGAAGGAAAAAGCTTTTACCTACTTGTCTATATCAGCCTGTCTGCTTCAAATTAGTTATTGCTTCTTTTTTTTTTTTTTTCATTCAACAGTTTCATTATCAAATCATTAAAATATTTGATGTCTTAACGGAGGGTCTATGGTCTGTGAAATTCTTATTGGCTCATCAGCACAAATGGAGAGGAAGAAAGTCCTTCCCCGGGAGCGAGTGCCGAGGCGCTGCCGCGGGGAGGAGGAAGGCGCTTCCCCTGATGAAGGGCCGGGGTCGGAGCCAGTGACCTCATTTGCTAAAGAGCCTCCTTTGTCCCGGGCGGCCCGGAGCTCCGCGCCGCCGCCTGGCTTGTCTGAGGCCCTGCGGCTGGCTCCCCCCCCCGGGGCTGCGGGGCTGTGCCAGCCGGACCGGGAGACACCGTGTGCAGCCTGCGGCATTGCGGGGGGCGGGGGGCATCAACATCATCATCACCACCATCAGTGTCACAGTCCGGGTCCCCTTCCCCTCCCTCCTGCCCTGCCCCAGGGCTCCTTGCTTGGTGCTTTCCCCTCGCGGCGCCTTGCCGCGGGGCAACGCGCGCGGACACACACACACACACATATATAGATACGCACGCATACATATAGACACACACATATAAACACACATACGCGCGCGCACACCTATAGACATACACACACATAGACATACACACGCACACACATATACACACGCGCACACGCACACACCAGCGCGCTTCCGGCCGGCAAGTTTCGAGCGCGCGCGCGCGCACACACACACACACACACACACACACACACACACATGCATACACACACACACACACATCCCCTCTTACACACATACACACACACATCCTCACTCTCCCCGACATACACACGCGCGCGCACGCACCTTCCCGGCTCCCTCGTCCTCTCCGCCTCAAGATGCTTCCAGACGAGAGCGGACTCTCCGCTATTCCCCGGCTCCCAACATGATCCCCAGCCCTGCACGTCTCCTCACCCTCGTTTGCTGCCCTGCCCCAGACACACGCGTACACACTCACACACACACACACTCACACACACACACACACACACACACACGCGCGCGCGCGCGCGAATGCACACGCACAGAGACGCCCCCCGCAGCGGCGCTCGGAGCCGGGCCGTACCTGGGGTCCCGCGGGGCTCGGGCGGCTCCGCCGCAGGGAGACGAGGCAGGTCCCATCCAGGAGCGGGCGCGGAGCGGCTCAGCCTATTCCAGTCCCCGGCAGCGGCCGAATGAGGCTCCGCGCTAGCGGCAGGAATTAGAGGCGGGAGGGAGCGGGGGAGGGAGGGGCCGGCGGGAGGGAGCGGCGAGCAGCGAGGGGGAGGCAGGCGGGAGGGGGCTGGAGGCTGTTGCTCCTTTCCGGGGTTTTTTTCTTCTGGCCCCCCCCC